ATTAGAGAAATCATTAGAGAGACTATGTTAATAAGATGGTGGAGCACCAATTGGTGAAAATTACGAAAGAAGGGAAACCAGCAGCGTTAAGACGCCCAACAAGACTACCGAAAGCTTGACATCAACATCACAAGATGGACTATGATGGAGCACATATTAGTATATACAGGAAAAAGTCTTAAGTTAACAAAAAGAAGAAGAAGAGGAGAAAAATCAACAACCTGAGTAAATTCCAGCGATTCGGAGAGATTGAAATTTAATTCATACAAATTTATTTTAGCATTCTTAGCATTTATAAATATGGCTGATAAATAATATATGTAATATAGTATAATTTACCACGAATTTGTGTTTTGCGCATACAAGAGTTAAGAATTGTATGTTCCCACAATCAATTTTTCGAATTTACATCCAAAACCCGAACTACTAAGCAAATTTACTTAATCAATGCAGGATGATTATTATCCAGCCTTTCTGAATGCAGAAGAAGCTTATATTACACTGACTGAGGAGTTAAAAAGAAACAGGTCGAGCAGATGGTAGCTGATTTTTGAAACACTGACTTTTTCTGTGTGCTTTATTTTGATAATAACGGAAAAAGTCGTACTAAAAATTGTCCTACCAAAAATACAGCCCAAACGGCAAATATGTATTCGTTTCTGCTTTAGATAATAATATAAAATGATATCATATTTTACTGCGTTAGAGAGATAATATGATTACTATTCCACCAACAAGTCATGAAATTATACCTCTAAGTATCGTAAGGCGTTTTATGCACAAAAACAATATTCTTCACTTTCCTTGATCTCACCCTATAGGGATATCAAGTGACAATGAGCAGCACAGATTTAGTGGATGGATATGTTATGACCATAATTACACTCAGTTACAATTCAGAATGGTCATCATAAAATTGTGTTATACTAAGTTCCGAAATCTTATTAAGACAGAGCAGAATTATTCTACTTGTTCTACTAACGATAAGATATATCAGATTAAGATCAGAACAAAGACAACTTAAAAATATATTTTATATAGATAGAAGGATGGACTTGTAGCTATTTATTATCTTCTAGATAACAATTTCTTTCTGCCAGTAATCACAACCTAACTTTGCATGTGTGAAGCTCCGTTTAGTTTGATTAAGTTTTATTGCAATACTACACTGGCCACAACGAATTGATGATCCATGCATAAGTCTTACTTGATCACATCGTTCTATTGCCACACAATTTAATGCGTGGATAGCCAAGTATCGAAAAAAAGCGAAATCTCCTAATGATTGATTTTGTACTTTTAACCTAGTCTTAATCGTCATCTACGTGGTCCATCCAAGTTATTTCTGATTCTCCATCAAAAGGAATTTTGCGACACAACACATCAGACTCACCAATCAAAAAAAAATCTATTCCTGTTTAGAAACTAGTGTATCAACTTTATCCACATAGTTTAAACACAAAGAGTGAACTCGAAATTATTTACAAAAAGTTGACAATATAAATGCAAATTCAGGCAATGCAGTTTTTGTAAGAGTTAGATGAATAGAGATGAACCAGATGAATATCCTGTAGTTTCTGTATAGTTTTAGTAATTGGTTTCTGTATTAGTTAAAAACCTATCAAACAAAAATTGATGCTAGATACAAATACCAGAAATTAAACGCTAAAATCATTGATAACCAAGATCTTTTAACTGGCAAAAGGATTTAGATTTGCTAAAAATACCTGATAAAACGTAACCATTAACTCTTGAAAATGCCGTTAAACTCAGCAACCGTTTCTTTTTAATATCATAAATTCACTATTTTCTGTTTACTTTCAAATCACCGACTGCAAAAGTAAATAAAAATATATAAATCAAGGATAAACATTGACCTATTCTAAAAAAGAAAAAAGCTATAATACAATGATTACATAAAATAACTGTTATCAAAGTAGAAAACAATTCATAGCGTATCTAACTTAGATTCTAGAAGTTAATCCAAAGTAAGGTTAACCTTTAAAAGAAGTGGGTAAGCCGTATCGGTCTGGCGAGTCGAGGTTATTGTAACGTGACTGGACACGGCTCTATCTTAACGAGATTGTTCTCGACCCAAAGTTAATTGAAGATGCCCGCTAGTTTATTTTTAAAATATAGCTGACGAGTGAAAGCTGTTGCACTGGGTCACTATCACATCTACTACCTAAGATTAAAAAGATATCCTGTTCTAAACTTGACATTTTTAAAACCGGAGTTGAATAATCGGATTTTGATTTGACACGATTGTTGACTTAAGATTTTCGGATTAAGCAATATGCGCCACCTCAGAAGCTATCAATTCTTTTTACGTAAACCGGATTGAGCAATCCGATAGACATCTAACACTTCTTATAAACAAGAAAAACGATGTAAAAATGTTATTTGTTCTTTCTCTTATGTTTTTGTACACTTGCAGATTCAATTATGGGAGTGTAAATTCATGCCGTCATTTGGACCAAAAAATCAGGTTGGTTTAAATAATTTTATTTAATTAATAAATAATTGCGTATAAATTGATTGGGTTGGGTATTTCGCGCTAGGTGCAAGAAAATAAAATTCTTTACGAGCCCCACCTGATTACAAATGAAACCATGACCTTGTTGGCGCAACGGCAAGTTACTCGAAGAACGGTCACGTAACAGTATTTTTTCGAGCTTCTTCTTGGTTGCGATTTGAATGCTCATCACTAGAAAAGCACGATAGGAAGTAGAGATTCCTAACAATCCCGGTTTGAAGCTATAATAGCTTTAACTGTACGAGAATTGGCATGACGACAGCTGTATTGCATGTTACTGTTTATCTTTATAAAGATAAACCACGGCATTTGCTTTTCTTTAATCTAGCAAATGAAATGAAGATGTGGTAACTTATACAACGTGCTTGCAATAAACGATTTTTGATATAAATTGAAAAGACGTTATTACGTACTTTAACACATAGTCTTCATTAATCAATTATAGGTTATTGATATGATGGAGGAATGAAACGGGTATAATTTATAATTGCTTTTAATTAATTTCAAAATGTCATGATGTTTAGATGTAATTTTGCAATATCCGCATTAACCTCTATTTTTTGAAAACTTTCCTAAAACGATTATATATCGTGAAAGATTTTTTTTTTCAAAAACAATACATTGACCAATCGAGTGGGAAATCTTTTCGCCAAAATGTTTTGATATTATGCAATCGAGGAAACTCTCCGGTAACTTGTACTACATTTTTCTTTTTGTTGTTCTTCTTGGGAATCACCTGGTTTTGCTAACAGATTTCTCTCATTGTTGCTCCGTTACGAAAGCATTATGGAACATCGCTCCAGTTTGACGACGACCATTTCCCACTTAGATTCTTGCATCTGGGTCAATAATATTCCCAATGGCATAAACACAGCGCGCTTAACATTTAGAAATGGGCGCACCTGTGCCAATACCAATAAACCTCCTCGCTGACATTCACCGAGACAACAAAAGGATGAGTTCGATTGCGAAATCGGGACACGGGAGTGCAGCAAAAGGTCGATGAGGTCAGAAATCATACATTCTTGCCGCGTTCGGACCGTGCCCAAGTTCCGGTCAACTTGCTGACCAATAAACGGTACTTCTCAGATTTTTTGGTAATACCGTACGATGTAAGAAAAAGTGCCTAAAAGAAGAAGACGAATCTCCCGTTTTTGCACGATCATTTATACCGAATTATATCAAATTGCATCGAACGAAACTGGGAGCGGAATTCTTGAATCGTGATATTAATTAAGAATTGAATCGTGAGAATTTGCGTGGGGGCCGTCGAAAGTAAACGGTCTGACAAAATTTATTGATCAAGAAACAACGATATCGTGACCACAAAAGAAAAATACGATCGTTAAGTGAAACAATGAGATTTTTCTAGTTGTAGAAACCTAAAAGGAATTAGTGAAAGCGTTTTAAAAACAAGAAAATAAGCGCATAGCTTAACTAAATGGTGGTAATTGCTTGGAATAACTTTTGATAACGAGAAATGGAACGCTTATGGAAAAACAAAACTGTTTCTTTTTTACCGGTTTAATATTCTATTGTGAAGGTGTACAACAAAGAGGCAGTTTATTTGCAAATTTCAACCGGATAGACGTGTACTGTATACATACAATCATTAATAAAGTTTTAATTAGGATTTAAGACGGTAAATTAGACACCCTAACGGAAAGTGAGTAATATAAGACTCAACACAACCCATAAAATCAGGTTAACGCATAAATAAAGTAATACTGTTTGTTGATTTTTCCTTGAAAATCTAAACTTTATTACTTTCCTGCTTCAACACCGTAAGCAATAGCGAGCGAATGCTCTGATCTCGTTTACCTTCACGTGGAAGTAATTATAAAAACTCCAAATCCGAACTATCTCCATTTCGAATCAATGCAATTTTACGCAATAAAACAGGGTGTTTTATACGAAATAATTGATCAATTTTATCTATTACACCTTGCGACATCACTAACTTTCTTCCGGTCATATTCGTCATGGTCTTATTTAATAGAAAGCTACCAGTAATTGATTGTCTATGTATCTATTAAAATTTCTTTTAAGAAACACAAAAGAATTAGCTTTCAAATGATCTAAATCCATATAAAGTTAGCTTCCTATTTATCCAAAAAAATAAAATACCCTCATCATTATCGAGGTAAATGCCAACAATATCATTATCACCTAATCGAGAAAATTCATTGTATAGTAACGAGATATTCGACGTAACATATTCCATTTTAAGACCATCCCAACAACGCTGTAATTAAGCTCAAGAATAATGGATAGTCCGGCATTAAAATTTTCAAACCTGTTGACTCCCTACACAAAGACCACCGCAAGTTAAAAAGATTACCTCATTACCAAAGCAAACAAAAAAACGGACACAAAATTCCTTAGAAGATACATGGGGCTAAACGCTATGCCCGCCTTGGAGCAGGTTTCCTACTCCTGCTATCATCGAAGATGAGCCAAGAAATCCTGCTGGCTGCACGCAGTCGGCCTTTAGACTTCAACAGGTCAGAATGTTCGTTCAGTGTTTAAAAACTTCTTATGTATTTTCAAGGACATTCTATGATTATTTATCTATCGTAAATCATAGTGAAACGATTAAATTTAAATCTAGTTAACCAAGTGAACGTAACTGTAAAGTGAAAATATTATTAAGAAACTTATTGAAATATTTAATTAGATTCGACAAGGATTGAACAGGTAATTAACAATTATTTACTTAGTAGGAGAAATTATTCGGTGATTAAAACTGATTTGAATCGTCTGAGCTAGATTAAATGCATAAAGTAGGTCTTTCATTAAGGTGAGAAATGAGTTAAAAGTAAGTCGACTTATCTAGAAACAAATATTTCGATTACTAATTAATTCGCATTATTTTATATTATTAAAGTAGAATCTTATTATAATATTAATTATTATATAAACTATTAGGTTACCAGTTAAGAGTTACCAGTGAGATTAAAATTAGGAACAGGAACTAGTCGATTTGTAGTTTTTTTAATTTTTATCTGACTGGAAGTATAATTTTTGTGTCTTTTCAAGAATTATTTGAAAAGTTTTTGTCTTAGAATTAATAAACAGTGAATTAAAACCAGCGATTCTCTAGTAATCGCTCTATAAAACTTTACCCTTCGACTCATTAATAATTTGTTAGTAATTAACAAATGTGAAACTGCAAACGTGGGCTTTTTGTTTACTTGGTGGTTTGCTATCAATTAGCAATTTTTCGACCTGCAATTTTAACCAGAAACCAGAGCGATTGATTAACTTTCAAAGTCAGCAGTCACATAGAATATTTGCTAGATGAATTTGATTACGAAGAAGGAAGAGAAGAAGGGACAGATACAGAACATATAACAGTGGGAGAACTGGAGCATGTCAGTAAGAAATTAAAAAATGGAAAAGCTGAATGCTACAGGAATATTACAGAAACGATATAATATATGGGAAAGTAGGGAAGAGAAGTGATTCCATAAATAGAGATAATTAGAAAAAACAGCGAGAAGAATAAGTAATAAGTAGAGAAGTATTAAGTTAGCAATAATAAAATAAACACTAGATCCTGGCCAGAGGCCTTCTGGTAATGGAACTTGATTACACAAGGGATCTTGATGATATTACTGCAAAGAATATTTTTTGGAAAAAGAATTCCTTGTAAGACAACTATTTCATAATTTGTTATACTTCTCCTGGGTTAATAATCATTTAATTATGACATATTGTTGGATCTCCCATTTAAATCATACACTAGATAGTGAAAACCACTACTAGATGCTGGATCTAATTGAAAGCTGTATCTAACGGAATCAACTACTCGATTACTAATTACTATGTATACTATATCTAATTTCTAGACAGTGGAACCAATTACTACAATTTACTACTAATGGAGAGTGAGTATCGTTCAAAGTTTATGGGTAGAAAAAATTTCACTAAACTCTAAATACACGTTGATCTAAATTCTGCGTGTGCTAAATTATTTAGATATAATCTCACGAAAGAGGACCATCTGCGTAGTCTATGAGAACAAAGAAAATAAAAGTTCAGGACTATTCACATTCAGTTTTTACTTCTTATTGCTCAAACAAACGCAAAGAGCTGCAGACGAGCAATCAATAACTTGGTCCATTTCTTGCCTTTCTGGATAAGGGCTAGAATATTGGATTCGAAAAAATTGAAAGGAAGACCATCTGCGTAGTCTATGAGAACAAAGAAAACAAAAGTTCAGGACTATTCACATTCAGTTTATAGTTCTTATTGTTCAAACAAACGCAAAGAGCTGCAGAAGAGCAAACAATAACTTGGTCTATTTCCTGCCTTTCTGGATAAGGGCTAGAATATTGGATTCGAAAAAATCGAAAAAATGTAATATGCTGCAGGATGGGAAAGATGAGAAAAATGTAGGACAGCTCTCTTAAGAACTAGCTCAGAACTACTGTAGTAGAGCAACAACACGGAAAATTAGCGCCTATAACAAAATGGTGCAGAGGAGTGTGAGGAGAAATGACGATGAAAACAAAGAGGCGAGAAATCAGGAGAAATAGGTTCATAGAACGCAGAACTTCGAGGAGGAAAGAGACAGATAGAGCTGGAAAACTTTGGGCAGCAAAAAAGATGCTTAAACACAGAACCTCGTTGTGTAAGGATAAAGATGAGAATGTTTTGTTGGACGCAACTTAATATTAAACAAGTGGACCCGGTATACAAGTGCTTAACGCGAATGCAAAAGCTGACATGGCCGTGGAGAATAGAAGGAGAATAAATAATGAGGAACAGGCCTTCAAAAATTATGAAATAATAAGCCACCTGACAGCGACCAAATCCCTGAGGAATTGCTCAAATGGAGAACTGGCCTATCAGTTACACAAAATATACAAGCAAGTAAAGTGAGAATAGGCGGCTATCTGCCATAAGAAAGTATTACTTAAGAACAGCATACAAAGTGTTGTTCAATTGCTTCCTTATACGTAAAAGCTTGTAGGAGAGTACCAGAGGATTCCGGCCAGATATGTAAATGATGAGCCAACATCGACACATTTCATATGTTCATCGACTTCCAGGGCTGCTTATGACAGCATCATATGAGTCAAATTATGTGATGACCTACATAGCCTCAACATCCCAAGAAAATTGATAGACCTGGTAGAAATAATAACGGATGCGGAATAGATGGTTAGGGATGCTAACATAGGTACCAGAGGCATGATAAGAAATAATCGTCGCCCAAAGTCTGCCCCAGAGACATTTACACAGCACTGATAGGTTCACTTTTGGCTATCGCCTACAAATAAATGAACAGAAAGCAAAGGTCATGCCAATAACTACCTCGGTGCGTAACATTCACGAGCTCGGAAAGGATCCTGCAATCGGCACTGAAAATTTTGAAACAGTTCGGTAATTTTGCGTATCTAGCGCTGGACAACAAGTGTTATAATTTCTTGAGAAAACAAAGTTAATCATTTATAACACCCTTATACTACCGGTGGTTAGAGGGGTGCGGAGACATAGACAATTAAGAGACGACCAAAAAGACTAACGCAGTCATATAATTTTCATCAGTTTCGGATGACATCGACAGTTACATTCATTACGGCAATTTCATAACCATAATGTTTATGAAATCTATTGATTTGGGGATGGAATATTATAATGATATAAGTAAATAATAGCCCTTAAGAAGAAAGGGCCATAATAACGCTGAAAAGACCAAACTTGACGATGGGAAGAATGATTTATTCCGGCTTATTAACGAGCTATTTATAGTCAGAAATTGCTTTATGTCTGCGAATTAGTTAAGTTTATGAATATAATACCTTTTGGCTTATTTTAAAGACCACCAATCTGCAATTTTTTTATTAAAAATTAAATCATAAACAACGCTCGAACGTAGCATTTTAGTAACTAACTATCTTACGAACGTCTCTAATCTACAAATTAAATAATTTAACTCTATTTGGAAGTGACCTGTATAAGCTATCCCATCCTAAAACTGAGTCATTTAACTTTGATTTAAGATATAAATGTCTTTTTTAGTCGTAACAACAAACTTGCAGCAATTTTATTTACATTAATTCTTGAAATTTACTTTACCTGATCTTTTCTTAGATTTCTTTTTATTTTTACGAAATCAAATATTTTCGTGTTCTCTCAAGATTTCACAATTAATTTTTCTTTAGCTTTTCCATCATAATTTTAACGTTTTTTCTTGATGCATACATTATATTTTTCTATTATTCCATCTACAATTCTCACCTATTCTATACAATTCTTACCTCATTTCTTTAGAAGATTTTACCGTTGTTTATGAATAATCATGCCGTGAAAGTCTCATAAATGTACTCAAATTAAATCGCGTTATTACAACTTAATTTTCATAGTTTATAAGCATGACCATAATAAACATAATTTTTTTACAAAACGTACAATCTCCTTACATTATTTTCATGATTAACCTTGATTATTTCATAACATTATTTAAATTCTACGAATAATTTAAAAAAATAAAATGCCAACTGATGAATAAATAAATAACTTTTTCTTTTTTTTCTTAGAAATGAAGATTCTCCAACTCCTCGTAACGACAGCAGCTATATTTCAAGCCGTCAACAGTGAATGTCCTTGGCAAAGAGATATGCAATTAGCAGACCTTCATTCACCATGTTTGTGTTCGTATAATTTAGCTCGCGAACTCTCAGTGCAATGTGACATAGTTGAGTGGCAAAGAGTGTTGTTAGCGCTTCAAAAGTACGCGACAGACACTGCTATAGACCTTCTTTACGTGAACAACTCTACGGTTGGTGTTTTGAAGAAGACGGAACTTGCAAATCTCAGGATACATAGTCTTCAGTTATCAGGCTGTAAAATAAGAACGGTTGCTCCAAATGCTTTCGCTGGTCAAGAATTGCACTTAAAAAATTTAAATTTGCAAGATAACGATTTAACTGAGGTGCCGGTTGAAAGTTTAAAATATTTGCAAAATCTTCAACTTTTAGATTTGTCCCATAATAGGATAACGGAGATACAAGAAGATACTTTCATAACTTTAACGAAATTAACAACGTTGAAATTATCTGACAATAATGTAACGTTAGATAAAAATTGTTTTAATGGATTGGAGCTATCATTAAAAAATTTAAACTTGAAAGGAACTAGACAAAAAGAGATTCCTGATGCAATTAGGGGATTACAAACTTTAGCTTTTCTTGATTTATCTCATAACAGTATTAAAGAATTACCAGGACCTGGTGGTTTATTAACTTTTGATGGGTTAGACGCTTTGACGGCTTTAAATTTAGAACGAAATGTGATTCAAACATTAGATGACAACGCTTTCTTTGGAATTAAATCGACATTAAGTTCACTGAGTTTATTGACGAATTTAATTGCTGATTTTCCAACAAACGCAGTAAAAACATTAACGGAATTAAGAGTTTTAGATATCGGATACAATCTTCTTACGGATTTACCAACAAATGCTTTTCAAGGAAATCCCTCGATAACTTTATTAGCTTTAGACGGAAACCCGCTTCCAACAATTCCCTTTGCAGCATTATCACATCTTAACGGAACACTCAGGGGACTTAGTTTAGGAGGAAGATTTTTGCATTGCGATTGTAGGTTATCCTGGGTTATAGATTGGATAAGAAATGCTGATCTCCAAGTAACCAGTCGAGAACGAAATCCGCAATTTTGTGGAAGTCCCCCACAATTCAGAGATAGAGGATTTTATAGCATAGCACCTGAAGAATTAACTTGTGGTAACGATGCTTTGGGTGTGGCAACTCCAGTTATCGTTGAATTAGGAGAAGCTGTCAGTAATCCACGACCGTTTAGAACTCAAGGAACCACTACCGCTACAACAACCGTAACCACAACGAAATTTCCTAATACAACAACCACAAGCGTAACTCAAACCACTCAAACTTCCACCACAACAGCTGCACAAACGACTACATCCGAATTAACCACAGCCACAACAACCAAAGTCACTAAATCAATTACAAAAGGTACATCTCCGCCATGGAGAAGTCAATCGAGTTATAGACCATCTTTGGTAACTAGTTTTAATAAAGGAAAAAGTGACGAAAATGAAGTTATAGTAAAAGACGCTTTTAGACAAGATAATTCTGTTGTTATAAAATGGAATTCCGAAACCGTTAATATCTTAGGATTTAGAGTTTTGTATAGATTATTTGGCGATAAAAGTTTTAAACAAGGTCCACCATTAGAAGCGAGCGAGCGTGAATTTAAAATAAAGAACGTTCCATCTCAGGTGAGGAGAATGCTATTAAAGTTTTATTGCACGCTGTCCCAATTAATTATAATTTAAACGTATCTTTCCAAGCAATTTACAACCAATCAAACATCTTTACAATTTCAAGATGAATTTGTTAATTATAACACTTTTCCTTTGATTTAGGAATGTATGGTTGTTTGTGTAGTCTCTTTGGAAGACATAAACATCACTCCAGACTCCGTCCCCTACTCTCAATGCCGCGAAGTACGTACAGTTACTTCCATGTCCTCCAATATGGACAAGATCACCATATCTGCAAGTGCCGCCATATGCGGGACGATCGTTATTGCGGTGATTGTGTTCGTCGTCGCTTCGAGAAGGAGGTCGAAGAAACTTCGCGAACTCCAGCAACAGAAACTTAACCTAAAAGGAGGAATTCCCATCGCCGGACTTCCGGTCAATTGTTGTTCTTCTGCCAGTCCGGGAGGACCTTTGTCATCACTTCCAACTTTAGGAGCTTTCAATAATAGCAAAGTATACAATTTTATTATAAATGCGATTATTGAGTTAATAAAAATTATAATTTTATTTTAGGATTGGGATCAAATATCTGGATACAGCACACATAGCACCCAAAGACCACGAATGTACGCCGTCGATCAACCATCTTCGCTCCAAGATGATCTTCGATCACATTTCAGTTCCAAAGGTAACAAACCACGATCAATTGCAGATGGTCAATCCCAGCACAGCTTCTCCTCAGGGAGATTTATGGCGTCTAACGCATTTCCAAGTAATTTACTGGCTTCAAGGCAAGGTATGCACAACTTTTTTACACATCACGCCACCTTTAAACATCAACAGATCCCGAATTTGATAAGTTTAGATTTAAATAAGCAAAATATTTTTGTTTTCTAGCCGAGTCAGTCGGAGATTGGGAGACACTTAGAAAATACTAGTCTTAAGGGAACAACAACCAAATAAAATAGGTTTCTTTGTTTGTTATTTTACATTTTTCTGTGTGGTGTCACTAAGTTCATGCGCAGATCATTAACATGCGTTAGAACGGACTCACTGTTTTAAATTCCGGGTTAAAAAAATAATAGATGCGTTTCACGTACCACATCCGCAAAGTGGGTTGAACAATTTCGTGCACCGAATAATAAAATGCATTGAGAATTTTTTGTCTTGAACGTAGCCTATTAACGCAACATGTAGAGAATTTGCTAACAAATCAATTTCGCACAAAATTCTATTATAGAAATGGGTCTATTTACTTTTTTTCAACATCAAATATGCATCAAAAACAATAAGAGTCAATAGTCCCATTGAATCATAAATTTATTCATACAGCACTTTCTTGTTCATAAAATAATCATCAATTGATCACCAAGCTTTTATAACCACATATTGCAATACAACAACATAAAAATGCCTTTTCGTTCCATTTTTTATAATTGCTACAATATTTATTTATTTATTCTAGATTTAAGACAATCAAGACAATCGTTGGCGATGCAATCGGAACGAATGAGTAGAATAGCACATCATGGTCCTACTCATTCGGTAAATTCCTCTACGAGACGTTCCAGACCCAGATCCCGATCCAGGGATCATCATCGTCCCGGAAGTCGTTATAGCATCGCCGGATCAACGCACACGCTTAATAATTATTGCGATAATTCAGATAATTGGACGGACCATGACATGGAAATTTACATGGCGAGAAATCCGACGACTAGAAACGGTTTGGTGCCTTTATAAGCTCAATGAAAAGAAGAATAAACACGAAGAAAAAAGGAACTGTTTTGTAGGGGGCGTGAGTGTCGGGTGTGAGTGGTGAACGAAATGAGGGTTAATTTATAGTATGTAGAAGAGCGGCGAAATATAAATTTATGTTTCGTTATTGTGCAATATGTAGGACGTTTATATATTTTTTGTTTTGGTAAAGAGAAAGCACGGAGAAAAGATAAAAAATTAAAAAGAGTATGGTGATCTCTTACGGATTTTTAAAAAGTTATTTTACCTTCCTTTTTTGATTGTGCACCCTGTATATATTGATAATTTGTATTTAAATAAACTTAAATTTATTATTGTTGTGTTTTTTTATTCTTGTCATGAAATGAGAGGTAAATAATTATTATGCGGAGGACTAAAAGTTTAAAAAATACTTAAGTTATGTGTGACACCGCGTTGTTACATAGTATATCATCAGAAAATTGTCCACTTTCTACCAAAGTTTACTAAAATAAAATATGTCGCAATTAAATACCTCCTCATTTGGTAGTAAAGAATGGCAGTGGAAACATACCAGAACATTTGGAATTTAGGTATGGCAAGATAGAGACGGTTAACAGTTTGATATACTTGTGATCCCCGATGAGTAATAAAAATTCCGTCAGCGAGGAAATAAACAACAGGATAGATAATCCAAGCCAACAAATAACAGCTTCAATGGATTAAAAACAATTTCACATCTAAGCTAAGAAAAACCAAATTGGCCCTATACAAGACCTTAATACGACCTGTACTAGCTATGGGTCGCAAATACGAACTCTAGAGGAAAGTGCTTAGAATATGGCGTTGTTAATGACAACAGCAGTTGTATCTTTTATATTACGAACCAGAGATAGTTAAATTTATCAAAGTGTAAAGGTTGAAATGGGCTAATCCATGTAGCCAGAAGGGGCATAAAAAGTACCACAAAATCTACTTCTCTTTAATTGCCGTGGACCCGTGGGTAGAAGATCGGTTTTGAAATCGAAAAGACGATTCGTGCACAATGTTGGAGACAACTGGTGCAGAATGGACAGGAATTGTTAAGGCAGGCCACGGTTCATAACGAGCTGCAGGGCCAAGTATGGTGATGTAGATAAGCCTTGTGATAAGCAGTGCTTGTGATAAACTGCTAAAAGTCTTCTCAGGAATCTTCTTATGATAAATTGTACTTAGAACCAGAATTTGCGCCATCGAAATTATGGACATTGCGTGTAGATAAGGCTATTGTCTATGAGGCACTTTTCATTTTACGTATATATACGGTCTTGATCCTTAAAGGGTTAAGTATGTGCTAGTAATTCCTAAACTAATCCAAGTCGCGCTGCCTTTTTCAAGTTTTATTAACATTAAATTAATAATTAATGTGATGGATGAGATCCATTAATCGCTGCAAATTTTCTTAAATCATATAAAACATTAAATTTTGTTCTATACTAGCCCAGCTTCTAACAAATACGACGGAAATAAAAATAAAATCCACTGAGACACATCACTTAGAAGGGGATATTCATAGAGGGAATATATTTCTCAAACCAAATAATAGGTTGTGATAAGTATTCCTCAAACATGGTTTTTATATCTTTACAAAGATCAAGAAGTTAGTTTGATGCCAAAATTGCTGTATTATTAAAAAACAATCTTTGCCTGCATCTTCATTTATTAAGAAAAATGGAGAAGAAACTCCATAGTTTGAGTTTTCTTTTTATAAAAGCTGATATTTTGTCTGTTGACTTCGAAAGGTGACATATCTTTACAAAGATCAAGAAGTTCGTTTGATGCCAAAATTGCTGTAATATTAAAAAACAATCTTTGCCCGCATCTTCATTTATTAAGAAAAATGGAGAAGAAACTCCATAGTTTGAGTTTTCTTTTTATAAAAGCTGATATTTTTTCTGTTGACTTCGAAAGGTGAATGTTTCTCCTGGAGAGATAGATTAAAGCAATTTAGCTTTTCAATGTCGCATAAATATGGCAGTTTTATTAAAAAATGGCATCAGTAAAATATTCTGCATCTTTGCATCCTGCTTTTTTCACAAAAATATATCATTATTCCCTATATCTGCTCCCATATCTTTATTATCTACACAGCTTTTACAAAAATTAGTTTTTAATGGACAAGATATTATAATATTTTGATGCCAGCATATTTCTATGGAAAATGAAAAGGTTCCATGGTTTGATGCCAACATATCTCTATGGAAAATGAAAAGGTTCCATGGTTTGCTTCGTATGAACGCCTGAATCTTTCATACCAATCAGACATATAACGAACTCCATCGGTATAGACATCGTGACATTTAGGCCAATTAGCAATTATTTTCAGATATGAAAGTCTCAAGAATCTCCAATAGTGATACTTTTACAAAATAGAAGTTGTTCTTTAACACTATTATCATCTCTAAACAATATATAGCCCATCAAAAGACCATCCTTGTTATTATTGGGCTACAATCCAATTTCGCCTTGTTTACTTTCCCAATCAATTCATCGTTGATATCCTTTGCCATATGTTGTATTCTCGGACTAAGTGTGTTATTAGATAAAGACACTTTTAAAAGCAACTTCCCAACAGACTCACCAACCATGATATTTACCATATCTACAGCAGCCCGAAGAATAAGTCTTCTGCGATGATATGAGGCTTCTTACACTTAGCGATTCTGTAAACTAACTTATAAGACGCGAACAAAATAACACGTCGTTAACTAGCGATTTCTTATAGACGCTGTTTTGTACCCTCTACCATAATATCGTGCAATAGTTTCATGTTTCAAATTATACTAAATTTATCATGGAAGCAGCGGGTTGCATCCTTAAATTAGTTTCGACGCATGAAATTCAACACTAATTCGTGATGAACATCTTTAGTAATTTCGCACTACATTCGTCTCCAAGGTAACTGTACACATCCACTCAAAGGCCGTTGCAGCCTATATAGAAGAAAACTGAACTTTTTCAGCAATATGCACAGTTAAAAACAGTAAAAAAACTCAAACTAGTGACTGGAAATAAACAAAGTAACACTCCTGAATTGTTAATTGTTTTTATCATTTCTTGCAGAATTCCTTCAAGGTGCTACAAAGATCTTCCTCTTTTTAGATACTAGATACTCTTCGGTATGTTCATTAATACCACAAGATATACGTCACATCTGGAAGGCTGAGACGATGTGCCTTAGACTAATATGATGATTGATCTTAAACATCGTTAAAGTTGTTATAGTATTAGTTAGTACAATTGGTCACTTCCAACTTTTCTTAAAAACTCGATAGTTCTTCCTGTGACCGGATAGTAGCGTCTTGCTATAGCTACGAATACTAAAAGAATGAATTGCCAAACTAACAAGGGTAATGCCTCCTTTTATAAGAGTTTAAAGTTTAATTTCAACTTATCTCAATATCCTATTTATGTATCATAAGAAAAGTCTAAATTGCTGCGCTTGAGGCATACACTCTGCAATTGTGTGTTGGTTCTTTGTGTAACGAAACAAATTTGTTTAGAAAACCATTTTTTGACATGTCCTACTCTAAAATAGAGAAATAAAGGGAATACGCCAAAAAGTGGACGAATTAGAACAATATAGTCTTTTAAATGGATAGGAGGTTTTAAATGCTCGCGCTAACCAAAAATAAGAGAAGGAATATACTATCCCAATCAAGTTTATTGGATACACACACAAAAAACTGGTTCTTCATGCTAAGAAGAAACTGAAAACGACGACTTTCAGCGTTGCCAAAGACCTCACAGAGCTTTCTTTTTTTCTTGCTTTTGTGGGAGAAGTACTTCGGGCGCTGAATCGAACAAAAGCTGTCGGTAATGACGGAATAACGAAACAAGCGCTTTTACTAAGATCTCTGGTCATATTGCCCTATGGTTATCACTTATCACATAATAATCTTTTGCATTGAGAATTCTATATTTCTTGATCAATGGAAGGGTGCTCTTATTACACCTGTTCCAAAAAATAGTAAGGCTGCTCAGTTGCAGGACCTGCGCCTAATTAGTATTTGACTGGTACTTTCTATAGTTATAGAAAGAATATCATCGAAACCGTTCCATCGTTACCATTTACCATTATGACTGGCTGCAATCTTTCACTATAATGGATTATCGCAATTTGCACTTAAACTTATGCAGACTATCTTGGTAACCAGTCACAGCAAGTAACTTCTAATGAAGAAAGGGCCAATAGATATTGGATGGAGGATGAGGAGAGAAGCTGTAGACTATGTGGGGAGGACCGGAAGTCCTTACAACATTTGCTGGTGGAGTGTAGTGAGTTGAGGGAGGAAATGGATTAGAGGCAGATGCTGGGAGAGAGGGCTGAGGGAAGGAGATGGATGGTGGTGGCACGGAGTCATACAAGTTATTGTAGTTTTTAAATAGTAACCTTCTGGGAAACAAAAATTATTAAGTTAAATAACTTTTAATGAAGAGCTGTGTGTAAAGGGTAGTACCACAGAGTTCCATACTTGAACCTATTTTGTTTTCGATTTTCACTTCTCAACCGTGTTTACAGCTCAATACAACATAAATGTGGACGTTCGAGCGTGAGTGGACATGGATAACAAGCACTGCTTAACTGTTAATACTATTAAGTCATTGGTGATGGTCTTTGATAACCGGGGAGTCTTGGCCGAGATCACTGACACTTTGACAGTGTCCACAAAATAAGGATACAAAGAGTTCAAAATGCTTTTTTACGTTTTATTTACGGATTCGAAACTATGAGAGAATCTCACACACATTAAGGTTGGTGCGCTGGTTGAATATGTCAAGTCGAAAAAAGTATTATTAGTTTATTTTTAAGTTTTTTAATTTAAATTTTGTTTGCTTTCTTTAGATCATTCATATTAATATGTAAAGGATCAATACTAAAGCAACTTTCTTTACTCGTTTGTAATATTGGTTGCATACTGATTGTTTTTAACGTGTGCGGCAATAAACAGGCAATTTTGCAACAGAATTTTCTATAGGAGAAAAGGTAATGAAAATGTTTTTCTTACAATTAGATTGGAATGAAACATATATTGGAATGTACAGTGTGTTAATTAATTATTGCACCCGACGTCATCATTGCAAGTATGCAACCAATATCACAGTTTTGGTATTGCAATACGCGATTTGCATATTTGGTTGTATATTTGCAATGATGACGTCGAGTACGATAATTAATTAACACAGTGTACTACATAGTTACTTTCATGTTTTAAAAATAAAAATTACAACTTTTTTTCCCTCCTTTTAAATACTTACCCTGGAATTGCAACTGATTTATCCCATCTATATCTCATTTCTTGAACAAATTCAAACCATAAATGTGCCATACTGCGAATTCCTCCTAAAGTATCCAAAGTTTGTGCCAAAGTAATTGACAATCGCCAAACTAAAGAATCATTCGCGCACGTTTTATAACCGTTAAATAAATCCTCGATCGTTTTTACATTATTCACATCGCGAAACGTTGTTTTAACGTTCTCTTTTGGATTCATTTCACTGTATGGGTGTAAAACGTCATCAGATGCGTCAGGAAATAAAAAGTACAATAAAGGAACAAGAGTTTCCTCAGATAATGGTGAAACACCTCTTCTTTGTCGTATAATTGAGTTCCTTGTCGCTCGTTTGAGCATTGTGGTAATTGTTGGAATTTGAGGTTCGGTTAGAAGTGCAAGTGGATTATTTTCCGGTTGTGGAACTGAGGCGTAATCACCCAAGATGTCTTGGATTGTAAAATTGTTATTAAGCAGTTGTAAAAATTCATTTAAACATTCGGCAAGTAAACAAACTGGTTGATCAGACATTATAGAGGATAAAGTCCATATTGGAGCATGCATTGGATCAAAATCTGAATAATTTTCGCTATCAACAACAAAATTTTCTGGTAAATGAGACCATTTTGTTCTCAAAACTAAACATGCTATTGGGTCATAGCGAACACCAAATGGTAAAATTGTTAAAGAATTACTATCGAAGTTATCACTGAACACATCTAAAGATTCTTGCTTCCAAGAATAATTCCCAAACTCTGTTAAATGGTATGTTAATTGTACAGAAACCATCACAGGATCTAAATTAACTGGTGATATTATTTTCGTTTTGAATATATCAAGTAATCCACTTAAATATTTGTAATATGGTGGACCTCTCCTTAAATGGATCATTTCATAATTAGTTTTTATACCATTTCCTTCATAAACACCCAAATATAAATGCTGCAACTTATCTCTTATTTGAATAAACATTGGAATTTCACAATTTAAATTAGCCACAGCTATATTAGCAGAACTCAACAAAATTTTAATTATACTCTCAGAAGTAATACCAGCATTATTAAGAGGGCTAATCACCATATACTCATTCAAACCGTACCATTTATAAATATATTTATCCGGATTGGAATCATCCTCATCCTCTAAAACAAAATCAAAATTTGAATCGATAGGATTTTTAGTCTTTTTATCTCCATCCTCATCATCATCTTTAGCATCTTTAATAGCAGACATCAAACGGTAGAGACTCAACTTAAATTCCATATCGGAAAAGTGTACATTTTCAGATTTCACCAACCACTTCACATTTACGTTTCCTTTGTCGAGATTTTTTACATCTTCGATTTTCCATTCGTGTACGATCTCTTCTAATCGCGAAATAAACACTTCCCATTCCGATGCCGTCGTAAAATCTTGATGGTAAAACTCAGATTCATCAATTTCTTCGTTCATATTGTGATGTTTTTGTAATAAAAATTTTTTAGGTTAACTCAAATCAGATGATTTTGACGAGTGACAAATAATATGTATGAAGTACGTTCAAAAAAGATTTCTTGTCATTGGTACGTTTAGAATGTACTGTATAGATGGCGATGTAAAATAATATTAAAATTAATAATAAATGATTAGGCTAGGTTAATAATTAGAATGATTTAAGTTATGTTGTAATAATTATTTTACTTAAACACACAATTATTTTTAAATTTAATAAGTTTTGCATTAATTGCTTTTGGGGCCATCTATGAATAAGTAGACTAAGTTACATAAGATAATTCCAGAACATTTAAATTTAAATCTTTTAAATTAATCTATATGTTGATCCTCAGTAATCAACCTAAAACTATCCAACTTTCTAATAACCCAATGAAAAAATCCCAATATAGTAAACGTGAAACTTAACGGGATTATGCCAGCTTTAATCCATTCCCAGAAACTAAAAAAAAGCTGCATTTATTTCTAAAATTGCTCTTCTAAAATAAATCTCTTTACCTATATTTAACATCCTCAATATAGAAAGGTTCTGGTGTAAATATAAATCCCGCTTTTACAATTACAACGGGTTTGAGGGGTCGATCATCGCCATCTGTTTTAACGTGTTCTATCGTGTGAATAAATGGTTGCCCTTCTATTACTTTTCCAAATACAACGTGTTTTCCATCTAACATCGGAGTTGGTCTGACTGTTATAAAAAATTGACAACCGTTTGTATTTGGTCCGGAATTTGCCATGCTAACATATCCGGGTGCTGAGTGTTGAATATCGAAATTTTCATCTTCGAATTCATCTCCGTAAATACTTATAACGCCGGAACCGTTATTAAATAATATATCTCCACTTTGTATAGCAAATTTATGTATAACCCGATGAAAAATTGTTCCGTTATAACTTTTTCCATTAATTCCATTTAATGCAATTTCTTTAAAGTTACGAACAGTTTTTGGAACAACACTTCCAAAAAGACCTATTACAATTTTTGTTGGTTTTCCATTATCAATTGATATGTCAAAATAAACTTGATCTGTTACTTCATGTTGGAAAGAATCTATAAACTAAAAAAAAATGTATATTTTATAAACATTGCATAAGTGAAGTTAATACTAGCTATTTTTAGATTCAATTAGATAGGACTTTATAGGCGTTGTCATTCGGTTATTTCAATAGAAAGCTTTATTTTTAAAGTGGCAATAACTCCAAAACAAGTTAAGATTGATACAGCTTCGAGTCTAGCTTTCACCCGTTAGTCTTATACAAGCCATTAAATAACATAGTGTTCCATACCTTTTCTATATTCTACTATTTGAAATTGCAATCTAATTATTAAATTTACAGAAAGTCGATCATAAAAAACGTTTCATAAAAATGATGAATAAGGAATCAATCATCATATCCATTCAACAAGAATCTACATCTTCAAGATTACTTCATTTGGTGATTTTGTGACTGGGTGTGTAATGGACAAAAAAATAATAAGTCATGTTATCATATTCTTCTGACTCTCTATGGCTGAGACTCTGAATCAAAGAATCAGAATGACGATGATGTAACTTTTTATAATTCATGACAGAGATAACTACATGTTGAATAAATTCATCAAAATTCCACTAACATTGTGCTATCTTGATGAGTAGGAATCTTAGCCTTATATTAGACAAATTAGCTTGGAATGAGCACCTACAAAATTGAGAAGGTGAGGTGGATTTAGCTTTTATACCACCTCCAGGGCTGTAGAAGACATCTACACTTTATGACACCCCTACAGGAAGTCTTGGTAATCTAGCGACTTCAGTGATTTCAAATTCGTATCATACAGCATGATTGACGAAACGTAATCTGACTGTATTGGCTTCCACGAGAAAAAAACTGAATATACCAAATCTGTATATTAATTGCCAAAATGTAGGTCAAATAATTTAGAACATTTTCGCACCCTAGAGTCGCAAATCAGCAATGTAAGGATGTCTGCATAGAGCAGCTACAGCTATTAAAAACTGTCATAGACATCTACGTTATTTGACGTTGACTTTTTAGTTCGTGATTTCAATATATGACAGAAGTGGCTGATTTATGTGTATGGTTGGGTGATCAGTTACGATGAAATTAATAAAACTTTAAGGTAAGTCAAATCTATTAGCACAAGAACGTTATGTAATAATTCTTATGTGCAACCCGTACAAAAAACGAGAACGCACGCAGTAACTTTTTCTGCTGTTACAGATTACAAAACACCCTATACAGTTCTTTGTCTGGGACAGTAATGAGATTGGGAAATAATAAACTTCAGGGAAAAAAAATTGTGGATGACGATATCTATGAAACACTCTAAAGCAATTTACCAACAAAACTTCATTAACATTTCTTGCATACAGAAAGCTGCTTTTGTAATACAACTTAAAAATTCTTGTAAAAAAACTTGCTGCTTTCTGAATACGTGTCTTCATCTGATCTATTGATCAATTATTGTCTGAGAAATTTTGATAGACTTGAAAAAGTAGATACCTTGAACAATCTCTCGTTTTTATATGCTAGTAAAGAACCACTAATAAAAAAAGCAAGATAACTTCAAAATACAAGTAAAATTTAAATATTGCAAGAAATTTTTCCATAGTTAGAAAAGCACAAATTTTTATGAATCATCTTCATATTAAATTACAATTTATATGAAAATCGCGCATTTTGGATTAAGTGTAGATGGGTTGGATTTAATTTTAGACGATTTAGATCTAGTTTGAAAGTTTAGGTAAGAGGTTTGTTTTAATTCTGGATCACTTGGATATAGCTGATTTGGGATTGCTTAGGTGGTTTGAACTGAATGTGGTTTCGGTGTGAATATGCTGATTTGTTGCCTTTGCTTTTCACATTTTTAATCATGTTCATACTTTTCATGTTAGCATAGCATGTTGTTATCTGCTAACAAATTGGCACGAAATAGTGGAATCATGAACTGATCACCCATACTCTTACCAATAATTAACGCAAATCTTAAGCTTGTGTTCTTAATCTAAACTCTTTGTTCTTAACCCCTAAATCTTAAAATTAAATAATTAATAAGATTAATAAGCTTAACTAAGATTAATAAGATAACTTGAGCGTAACTCGACTTTAGCCAGGACTCTCCTTACATAACTACTACTTGATGTGCTGTTGGGTTATGTGGTTTAGGTTGAGGCTGATTTGAGTGTGGATGTGTTGAGTTGAGTACGTGGATGTGCTAATTTGGATGTGGATGGATTAGGTTATACGGTTTGGATTGAGGCTGGTATCGGTGTGGATGAATTTAATGTAGATAAAATGTTTATGAGCAGGATTGGGGTGGCTATTGTCTAAGTATCAAGTACTTCTTCTTCTTAGCCCTCTTGTTTCCCCGTTACAGTCCTCATTTCGTCGATCCATTTTGCTTGTGATCTTTCTTTACATTTCTTTTGGGTTCTCTAGGCCTCCAGAAGATGATCCTATGACTCCACCGTTCTGCATGATTCCTAGCCATATGTCCTACCCATTGCTATTTGAGGTCTGCCGTTCTCTCCACGACGTCGGTTGTTTTCGTTTTTGCCCGAATATCTGTGCATCGCATCTTTTCTCTCAAGGTAATTCCTACGGTAATAATTCCTAGCATTGCATGTTCCATGGCTTTTTGAGTCATTCTTAGTTTCGTTGCTGATTTTTTAGTATTTCCTTTTCTAGACCGTATGTAGCAACGGGCTTGCCAAATTCGGCACATATTAGTTGGGTTCTACGTTTGATTTCGGCAGTTTGGTTATCTTTGTCCGGTTTCATTGTATGCCCAAGGTATATACATATATTGTTCCACATTTTCTATCACGGTGTTGTCTATGGATACTTCCTGCTAACTGTTAGTCATAATTTTTCTGTTATGTAGATTCATTTTTAGCACTAGGTACTTGTTTCAAGAGATTGTCTAGTTCTTCTATCATGGTTTTGAGCTCGTCAATGTCGGTAGTTATTAGAACTGTCGTCCGCAAATTTCAAATGATTAAAAACCTTTTCTATGGCTGTGTTGAAGAATTTGCGGGAAATCGTGTCCCCTTGAGAAAGTTAGAAGAATGTTAGGTGTATTGGGATGTTGTATTCTGTTATTTTTTCGATAAGTGTTCGGATTGTTTGTAGATGATCAGACGTGCTGAAGCCTCTTTGGAAGCCAGCCTGTTCCACTGGTTGGTAGTCGTCCAGTTATGTTGTGAGTCGGTTTGTGATAATTCTCGTCTAAGCGTGATAGTAAACTTATTGGGCAGTAGTTTTCCATATTTGATGTATCTCCCTGTTTGTGCAGAATGATGACCTCTGAATTCCTCTATTTAGTTCCTCCACGTTTATAACAGTCTTTCTAGGTATCGTTGGATTTGATATGGTTGAACAAGTCGGTACTACCTAAAACTAGTACCCTATACTACTAATACCCAATTTAATTATTAAAATACATTTTAATAAAGAGCATCGACCAGAAGATATTAAATTATGTCCGAATTGATTATCCGTGCTGTTGTAGCTTTTCAACTACTAATTTTGTGGCTTTTTTCTTGACTTATTGCGCATTGATTTCAGTTTGGATGCTTAATCGTTATCTTCGTACAGTAATTTACTTCTTTTCCGTTTTGTGGGCACACTCCATTTTTCAGATTAAATTTCCAAATTGACTTGACTATTGGTAGCGTACTTAATACATTGTCATATTTTGGTTTTATACTGTTTAGGCCTTCATAAAACATTTTCGTTTATAGCAATCTATTCTATTTGTGTCTTAGGTTGCTGATTTTATCTTGATCCGCTCGTTTTCAAAACATCTAATTAAAATTGTTAGTTTAAATTACAAAATGTCGTATCTTAAAATCTAATTAAGGTATCACGGTAAAAGTTAAAACGTAGTAAATGAAGATTTAGCAGTTTTCATAAATAGTTTCTTTTCTTTCCATAAACATCGCTATTCTGATTGTTAACCAATCATATTTAAGAAATTTTAAAAATTTCATATATTTTAGTAAATGCAGAGAAATTTTATATAAGCTTATCAACAAAACGTACATTCAAGGGTCATATTCTTAGTGTCAAAGTAGTCACTTTAAATGCTTTTGACATATCTTTAATGTTTTTTTCACGTTATTTTAAACTTATAAAATATTAGCTTAATTACACAGGTGTATTGACCAAGAATAATCGATTTTGGTATTATTTACATAATTGGAATAAATATTTCTCTTGAAATAACTGAATTACTACTATATCTATAAAATTCTATCTAATTCGAAACTAAAAGCAGTTGGGGGCTAATTTTGCATCGGTATAAACACTGAAGCAAAAATATACTTACTTGTGTAAAAATAACAAGTAAAAGAATGATTATGTTCATTATTGATAGTTTTAAGGCAAACATTCAAATGAATTGAGATTAAGTTTTAATGGTATAGAAAAAAAAGTTAGTAATTTAATTAGTGTTATTGATTGATCCTAAAGAACTCAAGCTTTTGAAAGATAGAGGGTGATTGAGAAAATAAAACAACTTTAAATTTGAATGTGATAAATATTTATAATTTATAATTAAACAGATCTTAACTGGCTCGTACAGTAGTTTATATACACAGACATTTCAGTATTTTCGTGTACGCACTTAAATCTGGTTGTGAGATTTTTTTTTCGTGATTTTCTATCTCTCGCTCGCTCCGTAATCTGTTCTTGTTTCCCTAAATTTTTTTTGGGGAGAACAAAAGTATGTGGCGTGTAGGTGACGTAAAACGCCCGTTAAAAATATTTTTTTTTCGACCTCTTTTGTACATTCATATTCATTCGCGGGAAAAAATGTGAGAACACCTTACGTTACTTACATTTACACAATTTACGGCGGTACTTGTTTATTTTATTTCTTAACTTTTTTTTTTCGATATCATTCAATAACGGCCCTCTGTAAACAATAGCGGCTGAGATACGTCGTTTTTTTTTTACTACGATGCTTTTTACAAGAAGTAAAATGTATTATAATTTAACGAACGAAAGAGGGTTGTAACGAAAAAAACAAGGAGAGATAAAAGAAGGTTTGAGATGAAATGATGATAAAATTTTTTATTTTTTTTTATTACCTAACGATTTATGTATTTATCGCTACCTCTAAGTGATCTGGGGTGATGATGAGAAAGGTTAGATCACTTATTACGTAAAATATAAAAATCATTTGTACTTAAAGGAGAGGGTAGATTCTTTTTGTTTCAAGCATACATTTAATTTAGTTTTACAATTATTAATGTTTACAGTCTCATAGTAACCACAGAAGTACGATATATAATATGTACAATGTGTTTTTTTTAATTTTAAATTATTTAGTTATAACAAATAATCGAAAATTATTACTGATTGTAATAATAATTAATAATACATCGGTGATCCGGAAAAAATGCAAATTCACCTATTATAATAGTATTTATATATAATTTTTTTATGTACAACACGTTACGCGATTTTAAAGATGAATCATCATCGATAAAGCTAATTAAATAAAAGGTATGTGTATGTTTTACATATACTGGCTTACGATTTCTAATCAAATATTTATATTCATATACTTCGTTTTCTTATATTTATACGATTTACACCTTAGGATACAGCTAGGATTTTTCTTGAAAAGCTTTTTTTCGGACATACTATAATACATTCACAACACGTTTAACGAATGTCGTTACAATAAATACGGTTTTACAATGAATGAAGGGGTGCGCGTCCAACCAACCGGCCAAAAAGAAAAATTATTATACAGATACAAAACTATAATCGGGCTAACATTTTTTTCTCTTAGTTAGTTGCCTTTTTTCTCTTTTTTTTGTTTTAAATTTAACACAGCGAGTAGCTTTGCGGCTTTTTCCTACTGGCTGGTTATCACAGAATCATCATTGCCCCGGCCCCACTCTCATACAGACTAGTTTTAAATAGGAACACGGTGTCCCGCGGGATCTCATGCGGCCAAACCTTCTCTTCCTGGAGGAAGCAGCTCCTCCCGTGACGTGTCAGAGCTGGTTTTCCGCTCGAAATGCAGGTCCCAAAGCCGGTCAGCTTCACTTCTACTCGCCGGTCTCGAAGGAGGTCTTTCTGGTGACCCAGTGGCGGGTCTCAGAACGTCCGGTGGTGGATATCCGAAACCTAAAAGGTTAAACTTTCCCGCACCTGCACCTGCCATTCCATTTTGTTGATTTTGAACCACTGAGATCTCATTAAGCTGTAAAATAAAAATCAAGATAATTAAGATAAGGAAACATTTTATTACATATTAATTGGTGTGTTTATTTTTCTTTATTTATTTACCTTTTGCTGCATGCCGTTAAGGAACGGAGCCGGTAGGTACGGGTAAAAAAGGTCTGGCCTCCGCTGGAGAAATTCTGAATCCTTGGGAGTCATGGGTATGGGTGGTAGGTCGAGAGACATGCGACGGCCGCGTCGCGATGCCCCGTTGCTCCACATATGCGTGCCCATGTGAACCTATTGATACATAAATGGAAATAAGAAAAATTATTGATTTGTAAATTTGAAGCGGCTCGATGTTAGACTGGCAAATTTTCGATCAAATGCGTTAGTCAAAGCGCAAGCCGCCAAAAGTGGCACCAGACCCAAAGTGGTTACATACCTTGAGGTTCCCTTTGGTGGTGAACGCCTTCTGGCAGACCGTGCACCGAAACGGCTTGTCGCCCGTGTGGGTTCGCATGTGTATCTGCAAGGCCGAGCTGGACGAGAAGTTCTTATTACACACGTGGCACAAGTGCTTATTAGCCTGTAAGCCTGCAAACACACACACAAAACGCACAATGAGGCCCGCAACCGGCTATTAGTGCAAGCGGGGCGAGAAAGGTGGGAGGAGGAGTTCATCAGTAATTTGTTAGTTTATAATAATGGGGACACTGAGAAGTAATGTTATGGAACGAAATATGGGTCAGATATAAACGGGACTCTCAATACTTACTTGGAGGTCTTTTGGGCAATGGAAGGTCGTTTTCCGATGGCGCTCTTTTAACTGGTTCGCTGGGTGTATCGTTTTGGATGATTTGTTGCGAAACTTCCGGTTCCGATTTAATTTCCTTAATTTGTGGTATGGTTGGTATCTGTAGTGGCGGTGGCGGTTGTGGTGTTGTTGCTTGAAGAGGTTGTTGTTGAGGATGATTTAGTTCTGGTTCTGAATTGGTGAGTTGCGGCGGTTTGTCGAACATGTGTTGGGGCATGTCTCGTATTTTGTGCGTGAGCATATGTTGTTTCATGTTACCCTGTAACGAAAAGAAAAAGCGATTAGTGAAGATATGAAGCGAAGAGCTCAAAATGAGAGCTCGCGTTTGCTTACCGCGAGCTGGCACCAGTTTGGGATCGGCGGGGAAGCAGTGGCGTATCCAGGACTCATCGGCAACGGGAAGACCGACGGTACCTTCTTCGGTTTGCGTTTTCTTTGCGCTTTCTCGCTGCTTCCTGTGGCCTGGATACGCCTCTGTCCGCACAGACAGTCCTCGCCGGTCTGCAAAGATTACGAGGCTAAGCATTGATTTTTTTCAAAGAGTTTTGGTACGGCGCCCTAATGCGTCGCGACGCGCGGCAATTTGCGTCCGGGACCTTGACAAAGCGCTCCTGTCTCCGGCGAGAAGCGGAATTTGTCCGGACGGGCGCGGTATATTTAAAAAGCGAGCACGAAAAATTGAGATTCCCAATCGAAAATAAACTACCCGGACGGTTGACATAACTTATGGCTGGAAGGTGGCCAACGGTTAATTCGAGATGAGCGACCGTTGTGCCATTGTGCCCCCCGATTCGCTCACCTTCGTCGAGAAGCCTCTATCGCAGACCGTGCACTTGAAAGGACGCTCCTTCGTGTGGCTCCTGTAGTGGATCTCCAACGCCGAGTTGCATGCGAACGTCTTGAAACACAGCGTGCAAGTCGTATTCCCCCTCACTGAAACCAAATCAAATACTATAACTTAATAAACTTTCTTTCTTCCTTCCCATTAAATTCAACTTACCCGTTGGACCAACAGCTAACCTCAAAGGACTGAACGTAGTTGACGTTAACACCGAGGAAGTTAGTGATGATAACGCTGACGTCATCAGAGGGGAACTCGTTTGGCCTGGTGGAAGTAATCCGAACGAAGAGAACAGCGATGGAGGTGCTGGATTCGGCCCTGGACTTGAAATAGGTGCCTGAGATGTTTTTGGCGTCAAATCCAAGGCACCTAATGAATTTGATTCGGAAGGTGTAGGACTCGCGTGATGTGGAGAAATTGGACGTGTAACCTGCGCAAATAAAAATAATTCTTTAGTCATAATCTATTTCATGTCACCAATAATATATTTTAATTAATATTCATAGAGTGGTTCTAAATTAGTTCAACTTCATTCTTTAAATTACACTTCTTGTTGTACATTTGTTTCATAACGCTCTAGGATATATTTAAATTGACATTTGGTTAAGCGCCTACCAGACATTAAGCTATGAGTAAACAACAAAATAAATTATTCTTAGTATATAAACGAGTCCAATCGTTAAATTGTTAGGTTAAGAAATAAAGTATTAAATATAAAATAATAAATTACCTGGACGGTGTTCGATATTTGATTAGGAGAAGACCTAATTTCAATCCCGGGACTTGGACTGGGCTCTTCGGGTGTCTTCTCCCCGTTTTGAATTATAGGTGATGACGGTGGTAAAATTCTATTCATCTCTTCCGGTGTGCAATTTAGCCTGGGCAACATCATTTTTTGCACGGTGGTGTTGACAAACGAATTGTGATGATGATTTTCAGGAGATGAGCTGGAGTAAATGATATGTTCCGAGTTGCTCATAGCATCGTCATCTTCATCTTCGTCTTCTAAATAATCAGTTTCTGATTTCACGTCCCTATCGAGTTCCATCTTCATATTGACGGGAAATCCTCCAGGTCCCAGTGGGGACAAACCCGGTACGGGGAAGTTTTGTCCTAGGAATGGATGCATGGAATTAGGTATCTGAGGAAAAGCCCCAGGGGATGGGAAATCTTTCACTTCTGCGGCTTGTATCTGTTCTGGTGTGAGATCTGTTGGTTCTCCTGTATGGAGTCTGATATGTTGTTGAAGAACCAATGCGTTGGTGAATTTTTTATGGCAAACGGGGCACTGATGAAGGACTCTCATCGGTGGTTTTGCTCTATGAACACCCATATGAGTCTTTAAATTTCCTTTCGTTGTGAAAGCTCTTCCGCAAATTTTACATTTGAATGGTCGTTCTCCGGTGTGTGTTCTATAATGCATTTGGAGAGCACTTTTACACGATAAAACTCTATGACAGATAACGCATTGATTCGGATCTGATAATTTATGTTCAATATTATCTACGAGTTGTTGTAATTTACTAGTTTCTGATGTTTTCGTTACTTCAATAAGGCTCTCCCAAGAATTATCGTTACTTCCTGGTCGAGGAAGGAGACTGGTGTATATTGCCGGATCTTTTGCTGGATCTGGAAGTGGTGTAGTTGGAAAAGGACCCAAACTTCCGGATGATGCACTGCTTGGAGGAGAGGTCGCGTGTCCGAAATTGAAACTAGGAGGTAATCTTTGTCCGGTTATTATATTTAATGGGCCTATTGAACCTTTTTGTGATAAATTTTCCGGTTCATCTTGAACATTTTCCATACCGGGCGTACTTCTTTGCCCTAACATGTCTTCATTGCTATATTTACTACTATCGATACTACAATCATCGGGATATGGACCTGGAGATGGGTACCTTTCTTGCTCCTGGTCTTGTTCAAATTCCGTATCGATTTCTTGTTTAGGTGTTATTTCAGTCGGTGGTTTGCTATCTCCTTCGAGGATTTTTTGATTATCGTTTTCGGGTTGTTCGAGATGTTCCGTTCTTTCTAAAGGCGGCGTTGGACTTCTTGGGGGTTTACTTAAATTTTCCGGCATTTCTTGTTCCTCTCGTTTCATAAATAATTGATGTGATGGAAATAATCTCGAAGGTTCTGGAGGTCTGTGCGGGGAAGGAGGTAATCTTGTGGGTAAAAGTTCCGTTGGTGGTCCTGGGGGTCGATATAATGGAAGAGTCGTAGGTGGGAATGGATGATTTGGTGGAAAACTTAAATGAGGTGGTGGTGGGGGACCTCCGGGTGATAAAGCGGGTTGTTGGCCCATTTGGGCTAGTAACGGGGGATGATATTTATCTAAATGTTCTGGAACTGGGTTAGGGTTCATTTTAATGTGAGGAAACTTGGCGTTGTGTCTCTGGAAGTGGACTTTAAGGTTTCCTTTGGTTGTGAACCTACTCCCGCATACGTTGCACTTGTAAGGACGTTCGCCGGTGTGAGATCTGATATGTATTTGGAGAGCTGAATCGGACCCGAAAACTTTTCCACAATATCTACATCGATGTTTAAAAAAGGGTTCGTTTCGACCTTTCGAATCGTACGGAGACATGGATCCTTTACTTTTTCGAAATGCTAATTCGTCAGCGAGATTTGTTGCAAGAAGTCCTTGGCTGGCGTTGTCTAAGACTTCTTGGGCGCGCTTTTGAAGCATTTCAAGTGTGTTTGGTTCATCCATTGATGGGGGAGGTTCTGTGTGTGTGATGATTGTTGATGCGAATGATGATGAAACTGCGCAATGTGGTAAGGGGGTGGGAATTAATAATGGGGATGATTCGGAGGTTGGTGGTTCTTGAATTGGTTCTGCTTTTGGTACTATCGGACCAATTGGAGGTACGGGGCTTGGTTCTCTTGGGGGTGCTATTTGAGGAGGTGGCGATTCTGATGGGGGCGGCTCAGGGGGTTCGTTATCGTTAATCATTGAAGCAGGACTACTCGCTTTCGATCGATTGATTGATAGTTGTTGCTGCAATTGATTAATAAGTTGTAGCTGAAGAACTTGTTGATGTTGTAAAGTAAATAATGTTGTTTGGAGTACCGCGAGATCTTGGAGGGCAGCTTCGTCTGGATTATTCCCCATGGCTTTCGCTGCGAATTGCGCCACGGCAACTTTGGTATTTTCTAATGCTTCCAAGGTCACGTGTCCCCCTGGTACTGGAAACCTGAAGTCTAATCTCGGTGCCGCCTCTTCTTCCCCATCAACACTGTTATTGTTCGCCGCATCCTGCCGGTACCTCCTCATCCTTTCCAACCTCTTACCCCCCGTGTCTTCGTCCTCATCTTCTGACACCACCATATCTTCGGGATCGGAATGAGCGGGTTCGTCATGTTTCTTCGCCTTCAAGGAGCACTCCGTTTTATGGGTTAGGAACTCCTGGACGTCGGTGAATTGTTCTTGACACCGCGGACACATGAGTGGCCTTTCGTAGTGTGGTTCTTCGTTAAGCGGCGATGACTCACCTGGAACAAAGACGAGGGGCCGATTACTTCGGGCGTGACGGACCGCTATAGGGGCGAGGATCCCGAATAGCATGTCGAGGTCGCTTCGGAGGGCCCCACGCGACTGGCATGGCATAGGCCGAGAGATATTAAACGAGATATGAATGTAGAGGGGGTAATATCAACGGTAACAAAGCGCAGGCGCGCTTATGACAAAGTGGGCCCTCGTCCGGCCATACAGCGCCAGCGTTATGACAAGAAGGCGGGATCGCGGATAGTCATAAATAAAACGCACTTGTTGCGGCTCCATAATCCCCGCCTATTGTCTACGCCCATATATTCCCACCACTTCGTCTCCCCTTATTATACGCTTTAATAAACTGACATGACAATCGAGATTTTTCTGACTATAAGAATATATATATTATATATATAAGAATCTGTTAGTACCCAATTGTTTGTTTGTTAGAATTTTTAATTTCTTTTGTTAAAGCCCACTTTTACCACCTCTTGATAAATTTATCCTATAGATAAATTGGTGTTCTTTAGGCTCGTTACTACCATCTTCTGGTTAAGCTATCTAAGGGATTTTAACGGTTATTTTACGCGCTCTGATTGGCTAGTAGATGGGTTTGTCTATAAGATAAATGTAACTAAAAGATGATTGATAGTAATCCCTTAGATAATTTATCAGGAAGATGGTAAGTTAATGCAAGAAAATGAATGAAACAAGTAATATATGTAAAAGAAGACTTCTTGGAATTTTATAAAGTTCGGCGCGGCATGAATGTTCGAATTATAAAGTTGAAGAGTGGAACAGATGCGGTCTACGTTTTTAGTCGGATTCGTGTAAACCCATCGCCGTCGGCGTTTTATATTTAGCACGTGCTCGCATTGTATCGAGTTCGTTAGTGTCGAGGTAATTTACCTAGTCGTCATAAATAGCAGTCACGACGTTAGATGGTGGCACGTGCACACCCCGTTGGACGGGGCTCATCTCGCCCGACGTATTTATACGAAGAGGGTACAGTTTGACAGACAAATGGCCCGGCTCATAGCGGCTCGTGCGCTGATAGAGCCGCGTCAGCTTCCGTTTCCATAAACCTGGAAGCGACCGCTGTCATATGGGCACGAAGGGGGCTTCGTTTAGAGTTTCCCGTCACCCGAGTTATAGTTATTATTTTTCCTCGGGACGTTTTTTTTATTTCTTTCGCCCCCTTTTTCTTCTTCTTTCCGTATTTACGGCATATTTCCTGGTGTGCCCCCCACGCTGGTTTATTTTTTTCCAAAGAAAACACGTAAAACGCGGCCGTATCGGTTACAATAATTTGTCGTTGGTTGTCTTTGCTGTTGTCGCTGAAACCGCGGGCGTTCCTCTTGTTCAAAAGACGTCCCTTTATACAGACCGAAGGGTGTAACAAGAGACATCCCAACCGTACCTGGGACACTACTTCAAAAAAATGAACGCACAATACACTCCGATGTTTGAAGACAAACGGGAGCTATATTTATGTCATTGTAATGCCATTGGGGACAGCATAAATACGCTTTGGATTATTATACCCAGGTAAATTGGAATTCTTTTTAAAAAAGATCACCTGCATCTTAACAAATTTATTTTTAATTTTTGTTTGAAATATTTGTCTTAAAACATTACAAATTGTAATTGCGAAAGAGGATGCGAATTGTTTTTAGAATCAGCAAAACACCCAGTATAAGTTTAACTCAATATAGTATTTTATTAAAAGTTTTGCAGATAACTTTAATGCTTAATAAATTAATAATCAGATTGTATTTAAAAAAAATAGTTTTGCTGCCTCATCACTATTAAGTAGATTTCTTAAATGATCATTTGCTAACCCAGCACTTTTTTTTCAGAGGCTGTCCATTTTCATTACTACATTCTAATGAACGTAAATCATAGTAATTGGTTAAAATGGTAATAATGTCGGCTTCGATTTGTTCCTGAACTATTTCATTACAAAAATTTATGTTTGTAACGAAGATCTAAATAAGTAACAACTGAGAATAAATGATTTTTTTCTATATGAGCAAAGTTTAGATTTATTCCTGAAATTAACTTTCTGACGATTTCCTTGATTTGAGTAACCTCGTGTCTGTTCTTCCTCTTGTAGTGATGATTTAAGTATGTGTAATAAAAGAACGACGGATGAAATGTTGGAATTGGTATTACTTAATTCTTTAGTTTTAGTTCTTTAAATGGTTTCAAATTGAAACAATTTGAAGACCATTGTGTGAACTTGTATATCTCGCCAAATCTTTCGCACACTGAGGGAAATATATTCTTGAACGAAGATAATTACTCTTGGCACAAGCTTATTATATTCTTGTATATCCACAAGAAGATCATTTTGTTAAGTGAAGAAAAACCACATATTCTCAAAGCAAGTATACACATATTCTTGATTCTCAAGAAAACGAATTCTTAGTAAAAGTAAATCAATCATTTTGAAAGGAATATCTTAGTGTTGCGTCAACAATCCCATTTTCGTATCGAGAATAGATTTCGTAAGTCAAGAATAACGTATCTTTCTTTTTAGAAAAACTTGTTCATGTAACAACAATCTTGTATAATTCTTCGATGCTAAGAATATGAGACATTTCATTCGATAATATTTCTATTCTTAAAACAAAAAAATATTTTTGTTTTAAGGGTATCTTATACTTGTTTCTAAGAAATACATTCAAGAATAAATTTTTCATGAAAGTCAAGAATAATTTCCCTCAGTGCATTAAAAGTTGCGAATGCGAAAGCTTGATATTTGCGAATGCGAATGCAAATATTCGTTACAACCCTACTTAGTACTCCACTATTCACAGGAAATAGTATCTCTTTTAGGTGTTGGACACTGCAGATAATAATCAAGTTCAACCCCTATAGGACATTTTTTATTGAATACAACTTTATTTATATCAAGTTTGTCATTAGCAACCTCATTGTAACAATTCCAATACGATATACAAAATCTCTTATTGCAGTTTCATCTAGTTTTCTTCTCTTCGCTTGTAATTCATCATCACATTCATTACTAACAGAACTGTCACTGTTATCACTTTCGATTATTGATTAAAGTATGCTCTTTTTAATGCAAAAACCCGTTTTGAAAAATCGCTTTTAGTTTAATAAATAAATAATAAAATAAATTTTTGAAATGATCGATAATTTTTTCGAATTTTGCTATTTTCGCCGATTAAGTATTAAAAATTCGTATAAAATCTAGTTCTTGGAATATGAGTATGAAAATGTCCCAAAGTGTTAATAAAAGTGTTTTCTTTCCAATGAACCAACCCGTTTTGAAAAATAGTTGTTAGTTTTTGAAAAAACAATATTTGAAGTTTTGATAAAATTTTCAAGTAGTTTTTTAAAGTATCCTCTTTTTAGAGTTGCTTCAATAGTTAAATTAGCATAAAAAAAAACATTTTGTATCTTTGATCCAAATAAGTTGACATATCTTATGAGCTTTCTTATTAATATCATTTTTATTCAAATATCGCAATAATGTGGCAATGTAGGACATCAGTTCAGAAATGCACCAGAAATTATAACCATAATGGCCGGATAAATAGTGCTAGTTCTAGTATTAATTGTACCAACTTTAAAATTTTTGTTGGTTCTAGTAACTTTTGCATCTGCCCAATAAAGAGTATTTATATTTTTTATACTATAAGAATGGGACATGAATAATTCCATTATCGGTCAGGTAAATTGCTATCCTCTGGTTGCAATAGATGGGAGGGTGGTCGACCATCAGCTGCTCCCACGCAAACGCGCGCGCGTGACGCAAAAGATAATTGCCATGGGACAGTTGTGACCATTTTAAACGATTCGCCCCGCATAATAGACATAATTTATTGGACGCTCCTCTGTGGGGCAGCGAAGCCACCGGTAGTGCACGCGCGACTGCCCCCCGTATTCCCCGCTTCAAAAAAAAGTGATTAAAATCTCATTGTGGACGTTCCCTTTTGGCGTTTAACGTGCGCCCAGCGTTCCCATTGTTTTTGCATACGAAGAGGGCGGCGAAGAGAGGACATACGAAGAGGTCTCTACAAGTGCACGGTAGCGCCACGGTCGTGTACCGGCGTGACCAATAATCTCCGTATTTGGAGGGCAACGCGACGCCCCATTGTTATCATTACACGGGTTACGTGTATATTTGCGGACCTACATTGCTTTGTTATAAGCAATTTATTCGATCATTCTAATTCGAGGAGACCCCATGTTTAAAACATCCTCGCAACGCTTCTCGTACAAACAAACGCCTGCTGACCGTAAAAACTTTTAACTGGGCTGTTGAGAAGTTCACACAATGAATCCCGTTGTGTCTGAAATATTATTAATAGATCCATCGGAAAGTAGATGGTTTAAATATTTTTTGGGAACCATTCCAATAAAAATTTTGTGAAATACATTTTTTCAGTACGGTTCTGTGCTTACCGGTCTTCGACTGTCAAGACAATCTGAATTATGTCGCGGTCGAACAGCGTCTACACGACGCAGATCGGCTCGGCCTTTCGATATATGCAAGAAAAATAAATCTCTCACGCGGAGAAGCTTCGTCGCGTTAAGCTTTTATAATTAGCTCTTTTTATTTGACTCTTTGTTCTTCCGTTTTGTTTTCTTCTCAGAACAACGAACATACTTTGTTACATTCTCATTGTTTATGATTGTCGTATACTAACCTGAATATTTTTAAATCATACCATTAATATTATCTACAATAAGTTATCTTGACCTAGAACCAGAAACATTGGGATTTAGCCGTACCTCTCTTTAAAACGACTAAACCCGAATGTTTCTTGTTCAAGGTTTAGTGTTAGTTCTAGTTTTAATTGTTATTCAGCGTTAGTTTGTTATATATTTTTATTGAACTAGAAGTGGAACTAACACTAGACCTAGAATCAGGGACGTATTTATAGATTATTAATGGGGGGATCCTCTATGCTGAAATACTAAAAGATAATAACAGATGACTGAAAAATGTATTAAAATATGATACTTA